TAGGGATGGAACATACAAATCCTTGAATCTCACAAGCCTTAAAAAAATTCGGGAATTTCAAAAACATTCAAAATTTGAGTTTGTGAATTTTCATGGTGTTTTATCAGTAGAATTTTTCAAATCCTGATCTAAAAAACTGAACATTTTAACTCTAAGCTTTGGAAAAATCAGTTTTTTGACATCAGAAACATTCGTTTTGTAAAAGAATGCAAATTTTGCAATTTTAGTTGCACTAATATTACCTCATGGTGGCCTGAATGTCACACTTTTAATTTTCTAATTTCCTGGGGAAAATTGAGCATTCAATATTCAATATTTGACTGCTTTAATTGCTGAAAGAATCCTTTTCCTTTTACACTTACTTTATTTTTAAGAGATTATGGGAAAAGGTAAAAAATGTCAATTACTTTTAAATAGTTTTTAGCAACTTATAGCAAAAAAATTAATTTCAGGGTTATATGCTTCATTTTCATTAGTGTATTTTTAATTTTTATATATGTAATTAAACATAGATATCAAATTTTTCTTTGATTAAAAATTTAAAATATTGAGTAAAAATTTCTCCCTTCTTCCTATTTTTATATGAAGAACTTAGAGAGGTACTTAAACTTCTCAAATTCTAAATTGGGATTTGGATTTCAGAAAATTTAGGATTATCTCATCTCTGGACATTTTATAATATAGTAGTACCTCAGTATAATTTGCTTTGAAATACATCCAACTTTGTATAACAACATTTGTTTGGAATACGACTCCACTTCAGTGAATTACGACAGCATATTATGCTTATTACCTCTTTTGAGACAAGACTACGACTACTGATGAATGTCAGTATGCTCGTAGATAATCGTTGTCTTGTACAACTTATGGCAACTATTCAGTAAACAACCCGCATTATAGCTTTGAATTTTAGAGTTCCCTCCTCCCTGTGTGTGTGTGTGTGTGTAAATGTTTCATAAATTGAGTTCCTTTTACGTTATGTGGGCACCATGAAAAGCATTACTGAAATGTGTAATAATGTGCCAAAGATAGTAACAATGTGATCAGCTTAGCCATCTCAGTTTTGTGAGTGAAACTGAGTCAAATATTCTTGTATTATGGTTTGCAATCTTTTTCTGTAAGTGTACAAAACATAATTTGATAGATGATTTTCTTCGTATACATTATTTGACTAAAAGCACTTTTTTACAGGGGGCGGGGGAAAACGAAAATGGATTTCTCAGTCTGGGAATTACCTAAAGATGAGGAGAAGGCAGTGAAATTCCTATAGAATAAAGGAATTCTTCATTAGCAAAAATTTTGCAAAAGTAATCATGAAGTGATGTGTTTTACCAGCTACGAGGCACCAAAATGGCATTACAACCTTAGAACATGCTCAGAAAAAATAGGTACCAGATTCCACACTTGGTTTAAAGGATTGTACCTAAATTTCCTTAAATTTATCTATTCATGGTGCCATGAACTAATTACATTTGAGTTTTGTAATATGCAGTTAAAAATGAACCACAACACATTCATCAATTGGAACAATTGTATGGAGGAGGTTCATGCCCACATTTTGTTATGTGAATCTAAGATTAAAATTGATGGAAATAACAGAATAATAGAGGTTGATAAAAATCATTTTATGAAAAGAAAACTCAACATTGGGTATGCTCATCTTCCACAGAGGATTTTTTGAGGCCTGTATAGAAAAACAAAAGAATTTTTTTTCAGTCATTATGGAGAGCTCAGCTAAAACTTTACTTAGTGCGAATGAAAAAAATTTTGCTGTTTTTTCTAATTGCTGGAAAGAGTACAAAACGGAGAATTTGAAAGAAACAGGATATGATTATTATCTCGCAATTCACCAGATACAATTTCAAAGACCAGCACATTGAATGGTCATGCACAAACAGTTGAAAGAATATGGGACAGTGCAAAATGGCATAATAAATGCCAACGTGGCACTTCACACCACAATCTTGAATCATACTTATTAGCATTTATTTGGTGACGATTACTTAAAAGAAGTTTTTTTTCCTTCCTTAAGTTGCAAATCATCTCTAAATTCATGGCCTCTGCTCAAATTAAAATTTTACTTTATTTATTATATATTTAAAATGCATTAATTTTGTTATAATAAAAGATATCTTATGTTTTTGTTGATGCCCATTTAATGTATAAAAGTACGTTCATTAACAATGGTTTTTAGGAAAGTTAATGAAAGAAGAGTCAAGCAAAGAAGAAAATGGTTAAGATCATCATGAAGGTGAATAAAAGAGGAGATTTCAAAAAGTATGAAGAAGGCACGTGTCTCCACATGCCAAGTACAATGGTGTCTACGATTGGGAAAAAGCAAAAACACTGTTAACACACAGTTAGACACTGTTAACAGTAGACAAGTGTTAGCTAATTTAGCTAATGATGTTGAGGGACTGAAATCACTTATCAAACAAAGATTAGAGACATTAGAGCGTGTTAAAAAATTGCTTTTACTCTGGAAGCAGAAAGAGATTTATATACAATATCACATTAGTACTTCATTTATGTGTAGTGTATAGTTTATCCACTGGATTTCTATTTTAGTATTAAATAGTGTTAGAGTAATAACACCAGGATTTTTTTATGCCAACAGATTAATTATTTTCCCTTTATTGGGAAATTGGTTTATTATATGTTCAAGAATATGGAACAGATTAACCCCTTAAAGCACAAGCTTTTTTCAGAAAACCGGTAAAAAATTGTAAAGTTTTTTTTTTTTTTTTTTTATTATTATTATTATTATTATTATTATTATTATTATTATTATTATTATTATTGGCAGAAAATGAATATATAGGTATAGTGTGAGTTTTTTTTTACTTGTACTAATTATTATTTGATTTATACTAATTTGAAACCAATTTCTTGCTACAGCCAAAAGCTCGTCATCATTATCTTCAGATTCATGTTCATCACTCAAGAGATCATCACTTTCATCGCTGAACTTTCTGATAAATTGCCATATTAAAAGTTGTCAGAGTCGCTCATTATCAGATAACTATCTCTAAACAAGGTACAAAAACACTTAGTAAAAATCAATTTATGGTTAACTGTTTACTTTTATGATAATTAATGCAGTAAAAATGGATATATTACCTTTTCCACACCAAACAACTGCTTTGTAAAAAGAATTCCTAGCAAACTTATAGTTAATCATCAAAATGCATAACAGGGTTTACACAAAAAAATTGCTGCATAGTGATGCTATCTGTGGTAGATAGGTTTAATTATAATCTAGCCTATCTATTTTTACTAGACTGGATCTGAGATGGGCATTAGAAATAAAATAATACAAGATCGCTCATGTGAGACATGGACATGTGCAAATTTGCCTGTGTCAGACACGAGCAAAAGTTACCTTGGTACCACTGCCGGTTTTTCATTATACCACCCAATCTCCCAGTTTTTAATTTTTAGCCTTTACTCAAGAATATGAATGAAATTTAATTGAATTAATTAAACTTAAAATTGAGGAACTTTCTTCCCCCCTTGTGATTTTTAGCAACGTTTCTTTATTAAATTTTATTTCATCTGAATTGAATTAATTCTAGAAATGTCTTTCTGTAGGCATTTATAGAAATTTTTATAAAGATTCAACTAATGTTTAAACAGTTAATATTTAAATTTAATTTTGTTTTATATCAATATAAGGTATGTTTGTAAGTTTTCACTCTTAATAGTATGTACTTTAATTATTAATTTCTTTTTCTCACGTTTCAAAGTCCTTTGATAATTTAAAGCTTTCCATCCCTATTCAAGATTTTTACAGTATAAAAGCATAGTAAAATTATAAAATGAAATTAACCAACAAACATAAATTTTGGAATATCTAATTAAATATTAATATATTTTACATCCATAATTATAATACAAATAGCTGAATAATCTAGATCATACATTACAATGTGAATTTAAATTAGTAATGTACATCTTTTTAGATAATGCCATGTTCAATATGAAAACCTAACCTCCCGGGTTTTCATATTTCAGGGTCGATACCTATGGCTATATACCATATTTTCTCCCCTCCTTTTTTTTTTATTTACTATCTTATCATCTGGAAATCAAAAGAGAAAAATTATGTGAATAATTTAATTTCATAAGGATACAGTTACAGTAGAATAAATGAGGAGTAGTCATGGATAAACTACTGATAATTCTCACAATATTTTTTCTTTAAAAGAAACCTACATTACAGTAAGAATACATAGTAATATTAACATTAATATATCTAACAAGATACTGTCTTTTCTACTTCCCTGTAACTTGAATATTGCCCTTTCTTATTGTTGTCTCTATGACTCCTTGTTCCTCAAAGCATCCATAAATAATATGAGAAGGTGCAGCCAATTCACTGAAATCGTAGACTGAATGTCTATTTGTGTTTGCATCACTGTGATTGGTGGATTCTTGTATTAGGTTGGCTTAAAGTTCAATAGTTTGAAGATAAAGTTGTGGCGGGATCAATGCAGATAATTTGCAAGGTTTTGTCTTGTTAGTAAGATGGAAACAATCATTGTGTGGATGAATCCATTTTAAAGTTTTAATGCATTGAGGAAGGGTTTAAAATTACATAAGTATTTTTTACTTCACAACTTGATGTTAAAAAGCTGGAGGGCCTATACGGGGAAATATAGTATACATATCTATGTGTTTATTGCCAAAAATAATTTTTTGTAATCCTTTGAACCTCCTTGTAAATGTTTCTTGTACAGTGCATAATTGAGAATAATTTCATGGTGATAATTAATAATTTAGCAGTGTATGTGTAATTTTGTATTTGAAATTTAATGATACTGTAATAATATTACTGAAAATTGTAATAGCTTGTGTTGCAAAATATTTTGTTTGTCTTTATGGTAGAAAGTAGAAATGTATGTTATATATGAAATATATAAAAGTTTATTTTCGATTGTTTATTAAAATTTTTCCCAAGACTTTGTCTATGAGTTTCTTATATGTGTCATATATTACAGATGCTGTGCTTGTTGCTGTAAACCTCCAAGCTACATAATTGATGACAATTGTTGCCAGTGCCACACAGCAGCTTTGAAGTATGTAACAGATTTAAGCGATGAAGATTTGATTTTCGTGTCCTTCCATAACAGAGTATATGAAATTCCTTTTTATGTTGCTGTAGACCACCAAACATGTTCTGTGGTTGTCTCTATTCGAGGTACTCTTTCATTGTCTGATACTCTGACTGATCTTACTGCAGAATGTGATCGTTTATTTACTGATGGCTGTCCTCAAGGTGTTTTCTGTCATCGAGGTATGCTGCGAGCAGCATATTTTGTCAAAAATAAGCTTGAGGAGAGTCATGCTCTGAGTGATGCTTTTGCACTTCATCAGAGTTACTCCCTGGCTATAACAGGCCATAGTCTTGGGGCCGGGACAGCTGCACTTTTAGCCCTATTGCTACGACCTATTTATCCAAATCTTCGATGTTTTGCATTCAGTCCACCGGGTGGACTGTTAAGCCTGGAAGCTGTGAAATACTCAGAAGATTTTGTCATGTCTGTAACTTTAGGTGATGATTTAGTGCCAAGATTAAGTGTGCCAACAGTAGAAGATATGAAGAAAAAGCTACTTAACTGTATTGTAGATTGTGAACAACCAAAGGTAAATATGTTTGGAATACAATTTTCAAATAATATTTTTATGTTTTGAAGACTACACTATTATTCTTATTAATACAAACATATGCAAGATGTTTCATAAAGTTGCATGATTAAATATTGCATGAACACTTGATTATAAACACAAAGATAATTTTTAAGAAATGCATAAAGTACAGAAAGCTTTCAAGCTGTAATAGATTTGGTGATATGATATTTTTCCTTACTTGAATTTTAATGTGAAAAGACCGTTTTCCATACTTAAATTTTAATGTGAAAGACCGGAGAAATTTCATAGTTTCAGGAATGAATGCAGTCAGCCTTTATTTAGCTGTTAAGTATTTATGTAAGTTTATGAATATAAAACATATTTTTTCCAAGTCTTGGCATTTATCAACATTTTTTATACTTTAGTTTAATTTTTAAAACATATTAAAAAATAGTCTAAATTTAAATAAATGTATTTTCGAGTTTTGAAAATGAATTGGAGATGATTGTTTAGCATTATGAAAAGGGTGCGTGGTCTAAAAAGGTAGAGAATCTCTGGTCTGTAAGAATAATTTTTATATTTGAATTAGTCAAGGGGAGAACCATTCTCATATGATAAGTTATGATGTTAAAAAAAGTTAAAATTCAAAAACTTTTTATGTAATACACATTATTTTTTATGTGGTTTCTAAAATTGATGTTTAAACCTTCCAATGTTTAATATCTGTTCTCGTGTCAAGACAGCTACACTGCATAAATTTTGTAATTAGTTATTGAGTCTTAGTTGATTTGAGGGAAGCGTACATCATCCTGATTAAGAAAAATTTTTCAGCATAGTGACTTTTACAATATGGAAATCCAAAAACTTAATGTTTCGATCTTCATAGCTACTATCTGGGTGGGGGGGTTGAAATGCTCATCGTGAAATTGCGTGCAGTTGTGGGGTTAGTGAAGTGCAACTGCAGTAATAAATTGCACAACTTCATTCAGATTATAATAAGTGGCTGTGCAAAGCTTAAATATTCTAAGATAATGTTTTCACTTGAGGGGAAAAGAAAAAATCAATTTGATAATTCATTCAGCGGAATCTCTAAATTTCTAGCTTCAATATGAAAGGCATGCATTTTGTAGAATGTATTATTTTTGCTTTAATAGTGAAAAAGTTATGTTAATTTTATCCAGAGCCACTTTGCATAAATGGAATTTTTTTTTTTTTACTCTAAAGATCTACAGTGATGTAAAGAATAACTTATTCCTTGGCATTTTCTTCATAGAGAACATGCATAAGAATTTAAATGTATGTTTTTGCTGAAAGTGGTCATATGGCCAGAATCATGGTAGTCTGAAAAACCAATCTTATTTGATTAATTTCTTAAACGTCAACTACATATCTATGACAAATCATTGGAAAAATAATCAATTTATGCAGTAGTATTGAAGTAACCTATGTGCGTGTATATGTCTATGCTCTAATAGATTTATGGTCACAACTGTAAGGGATGATGAAACATGATGAAAATAATATTTTTTATAATGCATTGTGTGATGGAATGTGAAATGGGAATGCTGAAAAGCAGTGAATGTGAAGAAAATGGAGAATGAAAAGCTTTTTTTTAATCACAAATATTTGCAAGAAATAGTGTTTGATATTTATAAGAATTGTTCAAATGAATGACTACTAACTGCAATGTGTGCATCAGAATTTTACATATGTGACATTTTGTCACATATTCCTTCAGCAGTGCTACCAATTCAGGCAACAAGGTCTTTGGGAGAGTTTATTTGCATCTTGTAAATGAGATCCATTATCATTATGATATATGTATTGCAGTTGCTGGTCATTTATTTTGACAGTTCTTGTAACTATCAAACACTATTTCTTGTTTAAAAAAATGTGATTAGAACAAATGTCTCTTTGTTTTTCATGTTCTTTGTATTTGTACTTCCAAACTCAAATTGTTACATTTGCCATATTCTACCTCTGCCTAAGTTGTATCCATCAATTCTGTATACAGAAAGTTATACAGTCAAAAGTCTTTACTCCGGACTCGTCAGCGATTCTGAATTATCGGTTTTTCTAGATTATAGATCATCAGTTTAAATCTGGTAAGGTGGCATGCAGAAATTATAAAATTAAAAATATGAAACCATAATTTATGAAATAAAGAGCAATTATGATCTAAAGGGTATCAAAATTTACAAAAAAAAGCAGTTTAATATTTATTTGTTTACTTTATTAAACATTTCTTTCAATGTAAGTTGTTTAAGTTGCTTGGTTTTATGTGCTAATACTTTCTCTTTTATTCTATAAACAGACATAATTTCTTGTTCAGTTACAAAGTTCCGCTGTTCAAGTCCTATAATTGCTGTATCGAGCATACCAACTAATTTGTCAATCGAAATTTTTTCGTTTTCAATAACCTCTCTGTCGCTTTCTTCACTATCGGAAGCGGTACATTGAAACATGCTTTCGCTTTGTAGATGCTTTGGCAGCTCCAGAATGGGAAACTCTTTTTGACATAATCGAAAATTCAAGCTTTTTTATAAAATTGCTCTAACAGTCTGCAAAAAATAATAAGCCGGATCCAATTAGAAGATTAAGGAACAACGCAATCTGCAACATTAACTGAAATAGATAATTAGATAATTTTAGTCTAGCTTATACCGTTTGTTATACATTAAACGTGCATGTGTAAACATATTATATGCATGCGTAAAGGTATTATGTGCATGCGTAAACGCATATGCATGCGCAGAAAGTTTGTAGCTTTGAGGTCCGGATTATAGATCATTCTGGATTATGGACATCCAGATTAAAAGACTTTTGACTGTATAATCACAAATTTTATTTAACATATTACTTTCTGTAGACAGAAAGTAGTATGTTAAATAAAATTTGTGACTGTGTCATATGTCAACTGTAACAATATCAACAGTAACAAATAATGTAAAAGAGCAGGAAATGGAAAGACTGCCAACAACTTAATAACCAACTAACATCATGTAGTTGCACAAAAGCATAAATATGCAGAATTAGCTAGTATATAAAATATAAAGTAGGACAGAAACGTTATATGTAGCATATAAGAAAAGAAATGAAATTAATGTAAAATATAGGAGATAAAAAGAGAAAACTATAGATAAGCTGCTTTTATCACTGGAACAAAAAATAGTAAATATTTCAAAATTAGAAATTAAATTTTAGTTCATAAGCAGCATAGTAATTAGAAAATTAAAATTTAATTTTAACTAAAGTAAGCTAAAGATTGATAATTGTGATAAAAAAAGAAACAAAAAGCTCTCAAATACTATACTTGCTTAACTTAACTAAGAATTATTGGTTACTTTTTTGCTTACTGGTCCCAATTTGAAGCTTAAATCCTAGGAAATGAACTGCAAGTAAAAGGCTAAAATCAAATTAAAAATTTAGAAAAAAAAAACAATAATAATTTGTAAGAAAGTGGGATTTTATAATGGGACACCACTCTACAAATGTGGTACCCTGCTTTACTTGTATCATGATTAGCATCGCAACATTTAATGTATGTGATGCCAATATAGTGCAAGTGTTCTGGTTTCATTTAAAAAATCACAGAAGGCACAATTTTGGTGCCATGTACATTAAACATTACATATATTATGTATGATGTGTTACTGTTATTACAAGTTTTTTTTTTTTTTTTTTTTTTTTTTCCCCCATGAAAACAAACTTAATCATTGGAGTTTTCACCATCTGGTTACATTTTGAGTCAATGTTTTTATTTGGCTTAAGTAACATGTAATAATCCTATTGCCGGAAAGCACTGAAATTACGAAGGCAGTAAAATAAAATGAGTTTATTTATGGCTTTATTTTAGTTAGAGGAACCAGAAATTTTGAAGTAGTTAGTTAAAAGTATCAACATTCATATATATTAAATTTTGAATATATATTGTCATCAGAAAAGCATGTAAAAGAGGAAAGCATTAATTAAAGTAAGCTAAGGAAATATATATAATTTAATATATAATTTTTTATATCAAAAACTTAAAATAATAAATAAAATATTAAAATGAAAAAAAGCTTATTTTATGTATATGTGTAAAATATAAAATATGTAATATGCAAGATAAAAAATATGTAAATCAGTTTTATAGTTAAGTTTAGCAATAGGCTTTTAATTCCTCATTTCTAGTCGAATACTCAAAATTGTAATCGTCATGTGTGTAAAAATTGTAATCTTCATATTGGATAACGTTGCACTTTAGCCCCTCTCTCTACAATGTTTGGATGTAATTTCGCTTTCTCTCACAGCAGTATCAAAAATGTAAATGTTCTTGAATAGGCACACTTGGAGTGCTAAGTGATTGTGGCCACAAATATCTGGAAATAAAAATTGAATTAAAACCGCCTCGACTGCCAAGTTTCTTAGTAATTATTAATTCTACACTCTAAGTATCAAGTATCTTCACAATCAGCATGTCTATGCTTCTACGTGTCAGTTTTCCTTAAATACTTGTCTGAAATTTGCTTTTATTACATATATACATAAATTTTACTTTTTAAGTTTACTATTTAGAATTTTTTTTTGTTTAAAATAATATTTCTATACAGCTTATTTTTACTACAATAAAAATCTAAATAGCTAATACTTAAAATACTGACTCAAATTTATTCCAATAGTTTATCACATTAATTAAATTTATGTTCCTTGGAGATTATATATATATAAAAACTGTTCTAATAAGTTACTGGTAGCTTTTTAGCACAAGTATTCAGTTTTTTAAATTGCTCATAATTACTTGTTTATTTAGAATGTTCATTATAATTTAATAATAATGGCATTTTAATAATAATAATTTTCATTATAATTTAATAATAATTTCTAATAATGGCAGCTTGAGCACTGTTTTACTACCAGCCTACTTTCACTATGTTATCTCCAGGATACTTTTAAGTTTCTAAAGTTTTACTCCAAAATCTCTACTTTTAAATTTATAAAGTTTTACTACTAAAACTTTACTGTATTGTAGGTTAGCGGCTTCTTTACTTTCAACAGTTGCTCTTATCTCTAATATTGAATTTATAAATTGTCATTCCACTAGATTAGGGGTCTTCAACCTGTGTTGTAAAGAGAGAAGTAGAGGGCGCTGCTTGGCAGTAGCTCAACGCATGTAAGTAGAAACGAAATGTCGTTTGATTAGGCAACATGATTTCTGTGAAGGTAGTCCACCTAACAATAGGACAGTTGTAAATATGTAAATATAACGAATAATAAATAGCATTAGAAAACTGAACCATCGGATGTTTTGTGATTGCTCTACGGGCCGCCATGGATAAATGCAGGTTCGTCAACCTGTGACCCGCTGGAGGCATTTTAGTGGCCCCACATTTAAATTTGAAAAAAAAAAAATTGAAGAATTTTAAGAAATTTTGATTTCAAGAAAAATTTTCTTGTCAGCTTTTCATCTTAAAAAACTTTTTTCTCTCTTATTCTTGATATTTAAAACATTTTATTGACATGCCTGATAATATATGAGAAAAAATTTTTTGAAAATGACAAATTTTAGGCAGTTTTCCTTATTTGCAATGACTGTGTAGCTGTGATGAAGGAATATAACGTTAAGAGACATCGTGATACTAAACACAGTGAGAAATATTCTGCATTCGAAGATCATTTTCAAAGTGATAAGGTGATTGAATTAAAATCAAAACTTTTCAGCAGTCTTTCTTTACCACAGCGAATAAAGAATCTGAAATTAATGTTAGTGATAATTACATGATAGTAGAAAAAATTGCTGAGTGTGGAAAACTTTTGCTTATGGTGAATATGCAAACAAATGTCTTCATAGTGCAGTTGATGTGCTTTGTCCATCACAGGCTCAAGTCATATAGAATATTAGCTTCTCTGGTGTGACAGTAGTGAGGCGCATAGAGGATCTAGCAGCAGATTCAGTAAATTAAAATCCAAATGCAAAAAATTGAGTTTTATTCTGTAGCGATGGATGAATCAACAAATGCAACTGGTACTGCACAAGTAGCCATTTTTATTCGTGGCATTGATATTCACAATTGTAGAGGAATTAGCCAGTGTAGTTGTACTTAAAGGTACAACCCGAGAAACAGATTTGTATTCGAGTCTGACACAAAATTTGGATAAATGTAATGGTGACTTCAGTAATATATCTGCTATAACCACGGAAGGTACTAAATCTATGACTGAAGAGAAAATAGGAGTAACACCATTACTGAAATCTGATGTGAAGGCAAGTGGAAATAATACTATGATGACTTTTCACTGCATCATCCACCAAGAAAATTTGTGCAAGAAGTCCTTCTCAAACTTTGAACATGTGATGAATGTTGTTGTAAAAGTGGATAATTTCATTCGGTCTAAAGGACTTAATCACAGGCAATTTCAACAGTTCTTGAGTGATTTGGAAGCTGAATATGGTGGTGTTGTGTATTATGCGGAAGTACATTGGTTGAGTCAAGGAAAGATGCTTCAGCGCCTGTTGTCTTTGAGGAGTGAAGTTCAACAATTCATGGAATTAAAAGGAAATCTATTCACAAGCTCACTGATGAGAAATGGTTGAGAGACTTTGCATTTCTTGCTGATATTACAGGTTATCTCAGTGATTTGAACTACCACTTACTGGGAAAAGATCTACTTGTTCATAATCTTTATTACATTGTGAAAGCTTTTGAGACTAAATTAATCTTGTGGGAAAGTCAGTCGCTAAATAAGAATTCCATTCACTTTCCAAAACTGACGGAGTATGTGAAGAACGCTACAACATGGAATTCAAATAATTATGTACAATGCATTTCAAATTTGAAAGAGGAATTCAAAAGCCGATTTTCGTGAAAATGAAATTTTTATCAGAATCTTCTCCTCGCCATTTTCAGTAGACGTTGGAAGTGTTCCACCTGAACTTCAATTAGAATTTATAGATTTACAGTGTGACTGCAGTAAAATGCAAATTTCTTGAAAATCCTACATTAATTTATTTTTATTTGAAGTACATGACCGGAGACAAGTATAAAGGAATTTGTAAACATGCACTCTTCATGTCTTCTTACCTTTGGCAGTACATACATATGTGAATAGCTTTTTAGTAAAAGGAAAACCCTAAAATCAAAAACAAGAACACGGCTGACAGACAGACATTGGGGGAAACTTTATAAATTGCAAGAATATAGATTAAACTGGATATTGAAGCTTTAATCAACCAAAAACAATGCCAAATTTCACATTAAAACTAAAGTAACTACCATCTCCCGCCAGTAATGATTATTTTTTTATTGTAAATGCATTTTGTAACATCGTTCTGTACAACCATCTTTATGCCTTTTTTTTTTTTTTTTTTTTTTTTTTTGTCCCCGTAGTTAAAAAAAAATGCAAAACATTTTAATTTGATTTCCATTTGACTTTTTGAAACCAATGTATATATATATATACAAATCTGTAACACAATCTCTTTGCCTAGAATCAGTTGTAGTCTTGCAAAACAAACCTGCCTTTTTTTAATGTAAATTTTCTGACGACTCTATTTTTTTACAGACATGTGGCCCGCAGATCTTTGAATTTATTGATGTGGCCCTTGGGCATGAAAGGTTGAAGACCTAGATGACAAACATGCAAATTTAACTCCATGCCTTCTTCTGATAATTAAAAAAAAAAAAAAAAAACATTTTTATGAAAAACCTTTAACTGTATCTACATGATTACTTGAAACAATTGAAATTTTAAATATAGAAGATAAACTAAAATCCATTTTAATTATAGAATTAATAAAATTAGAGATTCCATACCACAAAACAAAATACTACTAAGGATTCTTCTAACTGCCAACTATACTCTGCAGAATTAGAGCATTTTCAATACCATGACTTCAGTAAAATTTAAATACATGTTTTGGATATAATTTCTAATCCCAAAGAATGAATTTTTCAAGAATCAATATACTGAAACTTTGTGCACTCTTTCTTTATGAACTCAATACTTGCACAGACGTTAACAAAAATAACTCCAATGGCACCATTTTCAGCCAATTTAAACTTTACAGCACTAGAATACTCAGAGAAAAAGGGCTTCACAATAAAAATTCTTGTCTTCTATAGATAAACCTAAATTAAAGGCACAGTTCCAAAATTTTTTAATTCTGCTTTTTTTTTTTTTTTTTTTTCCAAAAAACATAATTGGTTACATTCCTGCAACAACAAATTCTTCCTTCAACTTGAAAATTACTTTATTTTAGAATACACGGATATACAAATTATTAAAGAACAAGTTCTAGATTATTGTTAATTCAGACTCTAATGCCAACACTCACTGTAAAATTTAAATTTCTATACTCACAGTTTAACCAATTTAACTTCTCTCACATTCTCAACAAATGTAAAATTTTCTTCCCAGCAAATGATACCTGTTGAGATATTTGTAATCGCATTCTTACTGGTTAAAAGGAAGTCTAGCTTTCTGTCAAGTCCGATACATTCATTAGCTTTCAGCCAGGTCCGAATTATTCTGAAACTTAAATCTCATTCTGTATGTTTCTTTTGATTGGTTATTTATTGTGTCTTGTTTATGATTTGTTAAACCATGATCTGTTATAAAGTTATATATATGACCTCTGTAACCGCTTATCACTGCTAGTGCTTGTACTTACTTATTTCTGCTTACATGTAACTCTGCGTGTATCTCTGCATATCTCAGTAATAAATATTTGCTTTGCGAACCACGGCATTTTCTATGTTTAACAGCAGAGCGTGATTCCTTCAAAAGTTAGAATTTGCTGATAGTTCCCTAATTGAACCTTCAGTGTAATAATTTATCGTTCGCGTGATTTTGATTTGGTGTATTGTAAATGATGGCTTTTTCCGGAGGTGAAAGGGAAGCTTTTGGTGTACTACCATTTGACGGTGTTAATAACTTTACTGTTTGGTGTCGAAGAGTTCAAGCAGTATTTACGGCAAGGAAATTGGATACATTTTTGGAGACAGAGTTGCAGATGTTTTGAAACCAAAAAAGGCTTATACCTTAATACTTGCGCTTCTAAGTGATAATGTTATTGCTTCTCTTCAACGTGAAGACACTGCATGTAAAATATGGAAGAAACTACAGGCTACGTATAGCACTAAAGGTGCAGTGAGTCAAATTTTAACGCGTAAGCGTCTAGCTACCATAAGGAAATCCAAGGATGTGTCAATGAGACAGCATATTGACAGCATTAAAGAACCTGGTGAGTAGTCTACGCGTCTCTGGCTCTGAAGTAAGTGACTTTGATATTATTATTTACATTTTAATGTCTTTTGGCATTAATTACATGTAATGTCTTTTGGCAAAGACATTACATGTCTTTGCCAAAGGAATATGAAAATATTAAGGCATCTCTAGAGAATCAGCCAAGCAATAATTTGAGTTTAGATTTTGTTACAAGTAGACTTATTGATTGCGAATCTCTTATGTTTGATTATAAAAATGAAAATAAGTATTCTAAAGCAAATACGAATAACTCTGTTTTTATTAGTGCTCGTAAAGACTTGTTTTGTACTTATTGTAAAAGAAATGGACATTTTGTTAAATTTTGTAGGAAAAAGAACTGCGTCTGTCATAACTGTAGGAAAACTGGTCATTTTAAAAGTGAATGTTTTGATAATTCTAAAAAGCAGGCAAATTCAAATAGTAATAAGTATGCATCCCCTGCAATATCTTTTATGGCTGGAAATCTTGTGCATGATCAATTTATTATTGATTCTGGTGCAACTTCTCATATGTCTTCTCACAAGGAATGGTTTACCTCAATTAAGCCTAAGACTGGAACTGTTAAGTGCGCGTCTAAGTCGGTGGTTTTAGAAGTAGAAGGAATTGGTGATATTTGCGGTAAAACTAAGAATGGTGTTGAAATAATGTTAAAAGATGTTCTTTGCGTTCCAAAATTAAACGGACAGTTAATTTCTGTTGAAAATATTGAAGCAGCAGGTTTGAGCGTAATTTTTAAAATGAAATAGTTTACAATAAAAACAAAAACATTTTAGATTTGGATATTGAAAACAAAAACAAACATTTTCGATTTGGATATTTGGACAAATATGGACAATATTTTAGTGATTTTTCACCAAATCTATTTACAGCTTTAGCAGTAAAGAATGATGATTTATGGCACAGAAGGTTAGGACACTGCTTGTGATAAAAAATTAAAACTAATGAATCTTCCCGCAAAAGAATCCTTTTTGTGAAGTATGTGTTCGTGCCAAACAAAGTGCTTTAGCCTATAGGAAAGGTTCCTCGCATAAAAGAATCCAAACCACTTATAACTATACACACTGATATATGTGGTCCAATAGAACCTCAAACACTCCATGGGAAAGGTATTTCATGACTATAATTGATGATTACTCGCGATTTATGGAAATCAGACTGCTCAAAAGAAAAACTGACATTGCTAATGAACTCAAGCTATTCTTTAAATTGAATCCAACTTACAAAACTGCGTTGTGACAACGCCAAAGAATATGTCAGTGGAGAATTGCATGAAGTTGCTAAAAGAGGTGTAAAAATAGATCCTGCACCTCCCTATACAACTTTTCTAAATGGTGTTGCTGAACGAGCAAATAGAACTGTACTGGAAAAGGCTAGAGCAATGATACTTGAGGCAAAATTACCAAAATTCCTTTGGGGTGAAGCAGTACTTACGGCTCCTTACATAAATAATCGACTCCCAAATAGTTCAATTGAAAATCGTGTTCCTTATTTTCTGAAGTATGGTGAAGATCCTGATTTAACAAACATGCGCGTATTTGGCTGTGATGCTTATACTCTAGTGCTACCATCGCAAAGAAAGAAACTAGATGAAAAATCTGTCAGAATGATATTTGTAGGTATTCCACAATGGGATATCATTTAATGATTCCAGAAACAAGACGCATCATTGTTTCCAGAAATGTTAAATTTAATGAAGAAAAGAAGAAAGTAGAAAATCAAAAATATATTTCCGATAGTTCTGATTTGAGTGAAAATGACAATAGTGACATTAAAAATGAAGACAAATCGATTTCAGACACTGATAACGGCGAATTAAATGCTGCAAATAAGAAGGAGGAACAAAGAAAATCTTCAAGAGAAAAGAAACAGCCAGTTAGGTGTCCTGATTCTAAGATTTACCAAGTAATGTTTGCACAACAAGATACTCTGACATTTGAAGATATTGTAAATCTACCACAAGTAGAACAAGAACCATGGAAAAGAGCTATGGACGAGGAAATGAAATCTATGGAAGATAACGATGTCTGGGATCTACAAAGTTTACCCCCTGATAAAAGAGCCATTTCCTGCAAATGGGTTCTACGTAAAAAACGAGATGGAACTTACAAAGCGAGGCTTGTTGCTCGTGGCTTTATGCAAAAGGAAGGCATAGATTATACAGAAACGTTTTCTCCAGTGATTAGTATGTGCTCTTTACGTTTAATCTTGGTAATTATCAATAATGAAGGTTTGCAAACTTTTACTTTAGATGTCAAGACAGCTTTCTTGAACGGTAAGTTAGATGGACCAGCCAAAAGGATATGATGATATGAGTGGTAAGAAATGTAA